CGTTTCCACCCCGATACAGATTAACTCCACCCTGTGATGTAGCCACCGTCTCGAAGTGCAGCATGTGAGCTGTGCAAAGCCAGCTCTGCTCACCCAAATGGTGCTACCTCCGTAGCCCCTTGGAGCTTGCTAAACCAGCTCCAAGCTACATTGTTGGAGAGGGAGGACGATACCCATGAGCTCAAGAACCATTGTGCTGCCTTGGCTGGGGAGAAAAAGCAAAGCCAAGTGCTTCTGTTTTGCTTTTAAGTTAACTGTTATGGATGCTTCTTGGGTTTGGCTTTTCCTTCATGTCTCCGCTGAGTCGGACTCCTGGAAGCATCGGTTGAGCCCACATGGAGCCGCGGGGTCGGGCGCAGCAACTGGGGCTGTGCCAAGCAACTGCTCTACCACTCTTCTCCCTGGGTCCATCACGCCTTCCCGCAATTGCCATATCCCACTGGCTGCTCTCCGTTCTCACCCCCTCACCAGCCAGCTCTGTAAGGGGCGGGGGGAAAACAGCGGGTTCCGAGACTTGAGACCTGTAGCTTGCCAGGAGACTTGCTGTAGGGGTAGGACCCAAACCCTGGATTGTTGTAGCACAAGCGAGGCCCGGCCTCTGGGTCCCCATCTTGGGACGCGGGTGAGGAGTGAGCGTATGCTAGGGTGTGCAGCACCAGCCGAGTCCGCCGGAGGCGAGCAGCCTTACAAGGTGATCCGTTATCTGCCGGGATACGTGGGTGGGGGCTGCAGAGGCGGTGGGGGGCTCAGACCTGGTTTCATGGCATGCGTCTGACTGTGTGATTGGAACACAACTGACTGGCTTAATAAAGTACACAATGTTTGTACCTCTTTATCGCTGCCTTCGTTACTTCCCCCCCACATTTTCCGCGTACCCCCTGTTGTGCCTACACCTGGCAGGCGGTACATCCAGTGTGTCTCAAGGGGCCTCTAAGCATCCCTTTCAAAAACCTCACTCTCCCTTTTACTCCATAGGGGAGGGGGGTTGTGATTTTTTTTGCCTTTCTTTTCGTTCTGAATTTTCAAGACTTTCCCTTTTGGCAAAGCTCCAGAGTGGCAAAAGGAGGGGAAGAAACCATCTGAATTCTCAGCAGCGAAGGAAAAAGGTTGAAAAACAAAAACCTTTCAGACCCTTGTTGTTTAAAAAAAAAAAAAAAAATGATGATCTTTGTAAAGTGAGAGGCAAGGGAGCCTTGTGGGCAAGACCTTTCATTAGGCCGACGGCCTGCCAGAGAGAGACCTGGGCAAGCTTTCGAATGTGGGTGAAGAACACACTGCAGAGATCATAGATGATGTGGGTTGGAAGGGACCTCAGGTCACATCTAGTCCAACACCCTGCTCCAAGCAGGACCAGCCCCAACTACATCATCCCAGCCAGGGTTATGTCTAGCCAGGTCTTAAACACCTCCCAGGATGGAGATTGCACCACCTTGGGTAACCTGTTCCAGTGTTTCATCACCCTCCTAGTGAGGAAGTTTTTCCTAATACCTAACCTCAGCTTCCCTTGCTGCAACATGAAACTGTTGCTCCTTGTTCTCTCATTTGCCCCCACTGAGAACAGTCCAGCTCCGTCCTCTTTAGATGGAGGGAGTTAAAGGCTGCTATCAAATCCCTGCCTTGGTCTTCTCTTCTCCAGACTAAATCAGCCCAGTTCCCCCATCCTCTCCTCACAAGTCATGCCCGCCGGCCCCAAACCATTTTCATTACCCTCCACTGGACTCTCTCCAATGTGTCCACCTCCTTCTGTAGTGGGGGGCCCACAACTGGACACAGGACTCCAGATGTGGCCTCACCAGTGCTGAATAGAGGGAAGAATCACTTCCCTCCACCTGCTGGCAACACTCCTACCAATGCAGCCCAATATGCCATTACCCTTCTTGGCAACAAGGGCACGCTGCTGGCTCCTTCCTCTTCTTGCCCACTGTCACCCCAGATCCTTTTCTGTGGAGCCCCTGCCCAGCCAGTCGATTCCCGGCCTGTACCGATGCTTGGGATTGCTCTGTCCAAGCGCAGGACTTTGCCCTTGTCCTTGTTGAACCTCATAAGATTTCTTTTGGCCCCATCTTCCTCACCTCTCGCTTCTTTTCTGGACCATCCTGCTTGCAACATCACTCCAACACCACTGCAGGGTTTTTTTTAATGACTTTATTTGCCAGGGAGAGAAGGAAGCTAGGGTTTTTGCCTGGCTCCAGCTGTGAATAACAGGATGACCTATCTCGGAGGACGATCTAAAGGCAGGGGGCAGGAAACACCACCCAGGACAGCCTTGTTAGTTCTGCAAAGGGATGGGACAGGACAGTGGCCGTTTTGAAAGGCAACATGTTGCAATCGAAATAGAACGAAATCTCTCTTCATGCAGCTGAGACTCCAAATTCACATGTCCCGCTACCCCTCACATGCACGTTTTACACAGGCTTGTCTTTTCACTGAAGGCTCTTGAAATCAGGATCCCAGCCTGAACCAGCTGAAAACCCCCACTGAATTGCTGTTTTCCTCTTTGAACATCATGCCTTCTGCCAGCCTGGACGTCACAGCTCGGGTAGGAATCAGTATGTGCACGTGCCCCATCTGTGCATGGAGGGTGACCTGTCCGGGTGGCATTAGCAGCCCAGTGCATGGGACAGGACAGCGCTGAGCTCATGTGTTTGCTTCCCATCTTTGCCCTGGACCTGCTGGTGCTCCACTAAATCCTGGAGGGGTCTGCAGCCGTGCAACAGCTCGGCTCCCCAGCTCCTGAGCCAGTTCGGGGACCCTCCAGGTTTTATTGAGGACTTTTCTGCAAGTCCATAGGGGCACAGAGCTGCCCGGCCTAGAGCTTCGCCTCTTCCTAGGCACTTTGACCTCCACTGGGCACAGGCCCCATGGGTCCTCCATGAACAGTGTTGGACCCAGTCCCATCTCCCCGTCCCCTATTCCCTCACCAGTTAAATCCCACCCCCAGCCACGGTGTTAATTAGGATGCTGCTGCATCCTCTGCTCAAATCCTACAGCAAAGGCATCGTCTTGTCCGTCTCTCACTGGAGAGACAGACATCCTCCTGTCCGTCTCTGTGTTGGTGCCTGGTTCTGTCACGGGCACCCGCATCTGTTTCCACATCGGTGGCAACGATGAGCCGTCAGGCTCTCGGCCTGGCACAGGGGTCTCAGCTGGGCGGCCATGCTCTTGTGAGACGGGCACCAAGTTTTCCCGCTATTCATTTCAGGAAAAATAAGATGGGCAGGACCTCAACCAAGCCATGACCTTGAACTGGGGTGAGCAGAGCAGCCCTCAACGCCACTGTGAAATCCCAAGTGAGATTTTTCCCCTTGGTGGGCGCAAGCCCTGATGTGCCACGAGACAGGCACTCCTGTACTGGGTATGGGGCCAAGCCCCCAGTGTCCCTGCACCTGGGCTCCTGGCGGGGCACCTGCATGGGCAGAGACGGGTGTTATTCTCCCCCTGGCTGGCCCACGGGGCAAAGGGGGCTCGGGCAGGCCGGGAAGTGCAGCCCTCGGGTCCCTTCCAGCCACTTCCTCCAGAGGAAGGCAACGTGTCCTGTTTCTCAATGGACCTGCCAAGGCCTGCACAAAAGAGGCTGTCGGGGAGGGAGTGGGCTCTGCTCCGAGCCTGGGATCCTCAAAGGGGTGGGAGGCGTTGGTCTGCGCTTGGCAAGTGCTGGCACCGCTGGGGTCCACTGCTCCGTGCCCCTTTCATGATCACCCCCCAACCCAGCCCACATCTCTCTTCCTCCCGGAGCTCCTTGCTTGCCCCGGGACCGCTTGTCCTCGCACTAATTGAACCCAAGCCTCATCCATGGCGGATCCCAGGGGTGGATCCTGTGCCCGCATGTTCCAGAGCCGAGCTGCACTCGGGCGTTGCTGAATCAGGGCCTGGCCCCTCATCCCCCCCATGGCAGCGTCTCCAGCTCTCTTAGCAGAGAGGCCGCTGGAGGGGCTGCCCCCAGACCCTGTCTGAGGCCGTGGCCAGCAGGCTCTTCCTTGGCTGCTGGAGGGTTAGTGGTCCCTTGCTGTTTTTAATCACCTTAATCCAGCGCGGCTCCCCCCAGCCCTGATCCAAACCCTCCCAACTGCAAGCGAAGCAGCTGGGTTTAAGCATCCACCTTCTGGGGGGTTAGTTAATTAATTAATTGTCCTGAATGAACCCTTTCTAGCTGGGCAGGGCAGAGGCTGGCTGGGGCTAAGCCACCCCCACCATCTTGCAGCCCCCCGGCCCCGTGGGCTGAAATCTGTCCGGCCATTGCAGCTGTGCGGGGGACCATGGCTGCTCCCTGCTCCTACTCCACCGGTGACCCATGGGGCAGCTGAGGCCTTGGCCAGGCCCCGAAGCCGGAGGCAGCTCCCGGTGTGGCCTGACGGACAAGGACATGAGCTCGGTGGGCTGAGGGGGAAGGGAGTGGAAGGGCTGCCCAGCACAAAAGCCCCTTCTTCTCCCCGCGCTGTCTCCCGGCTCAGGCGGCATCGGCAGAGAGGCCCTTTCTTCCCCGACCTCCGCCAATGGGCTGGAGCCGGCGGGGCCCGAGCACTTGGCCGCCGTCCACCGGCACTGCCAAGGAATGTGGGAAAGGGGAAAAATAATACAGTGCAGCGAGCGCGGGCGATGCAGCCAGCTCCGGGCGCCGGGAGGACACTGGGAGGCCGTGGCACGGGCTGGGGACCCCCATCCGCCCCCCAGGTTTGGAGCCCTCCTTCTCTCCCGCCTCGGGGTCTCCACACTTCGTCCCAGGTCTCTGTCTGGCCTGGAGGGAGGGAGGGAGCGGCCGCCTGTTGCTCGGGGAGGCCGGATGCTGCTGAGCTCTGCCTTTTTTGCGGCCTGCCTCAGTTTCCCCCCGGTGGGATCTTCCCCTGGGTGCAGAGCCACTTAGCTACTGGCCTGGAGGGTATTGGGCTGGGGGGTGGGGGTGGGGGTGGCATCAGGGCTCTCCCCCCAGCTGGGGAGGCAGGCAAAGGCAAGAGGGGGTTAGCAAGGCAAAGTGACTTGCCTGAGACCATGCAGGCTGGCTGTGGCAGGGCTGGGGCCAGGCGAGGCCTCTCCTTTCTCAGATCCTGTCAGCAATGGACTCGGCCCCAAGTGCTGAGGGTGTGGGGGACAGCCAGGGTCAGGGGGCACCCACCACACCGGGGCCAGGCGGGCATCCAGCTGCCGCAGCTCTGAGATGGGACCTGTCTCTCCTACCGCCTCCACGCAGCCTTGGGCAAGTCCCTTCATCTCCGCAGTGCTCACGCGCAGCCCCCGGCGCGGCCAGGCTCTGCCCAGGGGTGGAGGGACACCCTGGAGCTCCCGCCTTCCCTGCCGGCCACGGCTCATCGCTGGGACCCGGCACCTGGTGAAGTTAACTCCACGGCCCTGGGTGCATCCAGTGGGGGGCATCCCTGCTTTCCCCCAGCTCCCCCCATGCCCCTCGCAAACTTATGTAACCGGCTGCTTGGCTGATGCCTTGTGCCTGAGCCACTGGGCGTCACGTGGGCTGGCCGCTGGCTTCAATGGGGCCTTGTGTGAACTTGACAAAGGGGAGATTGATTTCTAGCCGGGAGGGGGCTGCCACTGGGGGGTGGCTTGGCTTTGCCCAGTGTTTCTGTGGCGGAGCAGGACCCTGCCAGCCAGGGAGGCGCGGTGGCTGCGGAGGCAGGAGGCTGAGCCCAGGGGTCGCCCCAGGATCGGGGCCCCGCCGCAGGTATGCACCAGGGCACAGGGGCCCATCCCAGCCCCGCTCATCTCTGCCCCAAAGACCTTCCAGTCCAAGGCAGGGCAGGCGAGGGGCAGGGACAGCTGGTGCTCCCCCCTCTCTGCTGACTCTTTGTACAGCACCAGCGCAGGGAGGCCCAGTGCTTGCCGGGGGCTGCTGGAAACTGCATAGCCCATCCAGGGACCTGGCATATGCCTCCCCCCGCCCCCAAAACCTCCAGCTCCAGGAGTCCTGGGATGACAGGTGCTTTCTTCGTCTGTCTTAGAAGAAGTTTCCAGCCCTTGCGGGGACTCCAAGGCGCCGTGGGGACAGGTGCAGGAGGGAAGAGGTCTTAAAAGTTTGTGATTTTTAAGGCGAGCTCGAGATGTTTTAGGGGGGCGGACTCGGACCGGAGGCAGTGGCTGGAAAGAAATCGGTAGCTGGGTTGGTTTTCTTTGCCCCCTCTCCCCAGGTCATGGAGTGCCGGCCGTCGCGGCGGTTTGCGTAGCAAGGGGCCACGGCAAAGACCCCGCCAGGGGGGAGCGAGTCCCCGGGGGCTCCAGTCCTGCTCTCCCGCTGACTGCTTTTCATCCCCCTCCCCGGCCCGAAAATGCTGACGATCAAGTTGCCCCAGATCTTCAGGGTTCACCAAGTCCCTCGCGTGAGTATGGGCCCCGCTTGGCCCCGCTGGAGGGTCTGGGCCGCTCGAACCGGCGACTTTCCAGCCAGCACGACCCCCCCACCAGGTCTCCCTTGTTTACCCACCCCGCTGGGAATTGCTGGGGGCCACATTGTGGCTAAGTGACATTACTGATTGTGACCCTAAGGGACTTTGCGCGTCTCCAGTTGGCAGATGGGTGGGACCAGGGGTGTCATGGGGCTGGCGGCACAGGATCAGGGCCACGGCTGGGGTTGGAGTGGGAGGGAAAGACTGAATCAGAGACCTGGCTGGTTCCTGCCTCTGCCGTGGATTCACAGGGTCCTCCTGACCCCCTGTGCCTCAGTTTCCCCGTGGATAAAGGGTCCTCAATACCAACTTCCTCCTCCCCCGCCAGATCTTTTGGGAGGATGGCATCATGTCGGGGTACCGGCACCCCAAGAGCTCGGCCTTGGACTGTATCCTCAGCTCCTTCCAGATGACCAATGAGACCGTCAACATCTGGACCCACTTCCTGCCCACCTGGTGAGGGTGGCACAGGGGCAGGGACTTGCCAGGCCCAGCCCCCATCTGGGGTGGGGGCTCCTTGGGGGTCAGGGGCAGGACTCCTGGGTTGCATCCCAGCTCCCTGGAGGAAGGCTGGTGTCACAACCCTAGGTGGGAAGGGGCTTCTCTGTGCCTCAGTTTCCCTTCCAGGGGTGGAACTGAGCTCGCCCCAACCCGGGAGCCCAGGGCAGGCGGGTCCGGCGGGCGCGGAGGTCACACCACGGCTCCGGGATCCCGCAGGTACTTCGTGTGGCGGTTCCTGGCACTCTCGTCCTCGCTGGACTTCTGCCAGGATGCCTACCACTGGCCCTTCCTCGTCTACCTGCTGCTGGTCTGCCTGTACCCCTTCACCTCCAGCTGTGCCCACACCTTCAGCACCATGTCCCCCCGCGCCCGCCACATCTGCTACTTCCTCGACTACGGGGCGCTCAGCCTCTACAGCCTGGGTGAGCCGGGACCGAGGGGTTGGGATCCCGGGCCATCAGCTCAGCCCCATCGATGCTAAAGGACCCCCCCACCATGTCTGATCTGCCCCTCTTTGGGGCTGGGAAACCCACCCCCACGTGTAGTTTCCCTCTGGCAGCTCCCTTAAGGGGCAAGGTCAGGGTCAGGGTCCTGCCTGACTCCTCCCCGCCTTGCGTTGCAGGCTGCGCATTCACGTACGGCGCCTATGCCATGCCGGATGCCTGGGTGAACAGCGCCTTCCACCACTGCTTCGTGCCCGTGGCCGCGCTCAACTCCTTCGTCTGCACCACACTGTCCTGCTACTCCCGGTACGGACCCAGCAGGACCGGGGCCCCGCGGCTTGGGGGTCTCCCAGGGCTCCTCGCCCCGCGGCCCCCGTCTTTGGAGGGGCCAGCAGGTGGGACACCCCCCCTCCACCCTTCCCTTCCTCTCCAGCCAGTCGTGTGCATTGTCCCAGACCCGGCTGGGGTCAGCAGAGGGGCCCCGGGGGCTTTTGCTCCAGTGCCTCCAGCCAGCAGGATCGTGTCCAGCTGGTTGGGGTCAGCAAGGGGCTGCTTGCTTGTCATGGAGCTGGGACACTCGGACACCTGGGTCCTTTTAGCTTCTCTATCCGGAGCCCCCCACCTCTTCTCCAGCTCAGCATCCTGCCCTGTGGCCATGTCCCCTGACAGCCCCCAGCCCCGGCCTTTCTGTCTCAATTTAGTGGTGGAAAAGACGTGCTGGCTGGGAAAGGAAGAGGACCCCTCCCCACTATTAAAGCACCGCTGTGGTCTAGAAAGGGCTGAGGGGGCCTGTCCTGCACCCACGGGTCTGCCCTGATCCACCGTCTTGCTATTGACTGCGATGCTCCCCTCATCGCCTTTGAGTTCCTGCAAAGCCGGGCCCAGAGGGGGTCACATCTGAGCCGCTCCCTGCTAGAGGCCGGCTCAGCCCTGCCTGGAGCAGCCCAGAAGAGGGTTTAGCAGCCCATGTCTGAATGGGAGATGGAAGAGCATTAGGAGCTGGCTTTAGGGGCCTAAACCCCTTGGCCCCTCTCTGTCCCCGCAGCTTCCTGGAGCTGGAGTTCCCACGGCTCAGCAAGGCGCTGCGCACAATGGCCTTCGTCTACCCCTTTGTCTACGACAACGTCCCGCTCTTCTACCGGGTGAGTCCCCAGCCGGTGGCGCCAGGCTCCCGCATGCCCGGTGGTGTCGGCATGGCCGGGCCGGGATGGAAAGGCCACGGGTCCAGGTGTCTTAACCGGGCCCAGAGGCACTGGGGGAGGTGAGGCCTCGCGCTCGGTGCTGGACGTTTCTACCCTACAGGAGTCATGGGGTTTACAGGGCAAAGGGCCGGGGAGGAACACGGGGGTCACTGCACGCGCATGCGAAGCCCTAGATCACGCTGCTGTAGGCATGGGTCGGACCCAGGCATCCTTCCCCCCACCCCCAGGGCTCTGCTCTACCCCCTAGCTCACACTGCCACAGTCCCCAGTTGGACTCCCCCTCCATAAACCCTGGCCCACACCCCCCGATCCAGGCTACCCCCAGCGCCCCCCTCCCTCTCCTTGCTCTAACCACTATGTCCCCTGCCCGCTTTCCCGCCAGCTCCTGTTCTGTTTCGGGGACGACCGCGCCTGGACCGAGGCTGTGGCCGGCTACTGCTACCACCTCTTCTTCGCCCTCCTCACTGGCTTCCTCTTCGCCTCCCACCTGCCAGAGCGCCTGGCGCCCGGGCGCTTTGACTACATCGGTGAGGTGGGGGGTGATGCTGTGGGCCACGGGGCATTGTGCCAGGGGCTGGCGCTGATCCCCCCACCTCTCCGCAGGGCACAGCCACCAGCTGTTCCACATCTGTGCTGTGGTGGGCACCCACTTCCAGCTGGAGGCCGTGCTGGCTGATGTCTGCGGGCGCCAGGCCTGGCTGGGGGCCCGTGCGCCTGCACCCACCTTTGTCCGCACCTTTGGCACCGTGGGGGCAGCCGCCCTGGGCAATGGTGCCATCATCGCCGCCTTCACGGCCGCCCTGCTCCGCGTGCCCACCGCGGCCCCGCTCCTGCAGGGCTCTGTGCCTGATGGGACCCAGCCCAAGGAGCAGTGACGCAGCCCCCAGCCCCCAGGACAGAGTGTGGGGTGGGGGCAACTCGCACCCAGGACCGGCGGCCGCACGTGGAGTGGAGACGCCAGGCGTCCTGAGGCTGCCTCTCGCTCCGCCAGTAAAGGAACCCAGGAGTCCCAGCCTGTGTTTTGCTGGGGAAGGAGACCCGGTGTCCCGGCCCCTCGAGAGGAACGCAGGTGTCCTGGCTCCCTCCTGGACAGGTGAACCCCGGGCTGGGGCTCTGCAATCTTAATTCATCTCTGACCCGCTACTGAGGGGGCATGGGCAAGAGGGGCAGGGTTGCCTAGTGGTTTCAGCAGACACTTGAACTCACCTCGTAGCTATGGAGTGTGGCCTAGGATAAGTCTGTCCTCCTGGGCCTCAGTTTTCCTGTCTGTACATGGGGCTAACACCACTCACCCCTCCGGCCTCAACCTGCTGGGTGCCGCGGGCCTTGGCCTGAGCCTGGCAGGGCCCAGAGGCTTGCACAGGTGCTGGGCATCACACTGGGTCCTGCCAGTGTCGGCACAGCCAGTGTCTGCCACCTGTGCCCGTGGCATCACCCCTCCCAGGGCAGCTGCCTCCATGGCTCACGGGGCCCTGCACTGTCCTGGTCTCCCCACACACCGCCTTGAGGGTCTATGGTCAGGGTCAGGAAGGGGGTGTGGGAGCAGCAAGTCGAGGGCAGGGGGGGTTGGAGGGGTGGGGAGGGGCCAGGTCGGGTTTGCTGGGTTGGGTTAACCTTAGTGAGGGGGGGTGTGTGAGTGCATGAGCAGAGATGTGTGTGTGTGCAGAAGTATGTGTGCACAACATGTATAT